AAAATAACTTTATAGAGAACATTGATTCTATTTAAGCCTGAAAATCTCAGCAACTAGTCAGTTAAATGTAAGCAACAATTTCCTAGCTTCCCTAGGAACTGGTTGCTTACATTTCAAAACAAATTTGAGCCATGATTATAAACTTTATAACATAGGACTTGGTTCATTGAAACTCAAATGAATCAACCTCCAACAAAATAGATTTTTTTTTCCTAGTAAAATGAGAGTTATTGAGCCATTATGTTTCTTAAGGTATTTATTAGGTCTTATGTATCTATAAAACCTTCAGATGTTTGAGAATAGCATGTCTGTATAGCAGATAACATTTGTTTCCACAACATAGGCATTAGTTGCTGTGTATTTTGTTCACTTTTTAAAACTTGTTTACAGATGGTATAGTTTAAGATGGGTATTGAAATTCTACTGACTGCAACGCTTTGGCAGCCAAAATTATTTTTTCATAATTGTTGATGAATCATATCATAAGGAAGACAGAGTTTGAGGATCTAGCATCATCACAACCGTAGAAAAAAGCTGCCCTTATCAACTTTTGTAAAGAAGAGTAAAAAGTTAATTATTTGCAAGATAACACATTGAAAAAGGCACCCTGGTTTTAAACTGATCTCATTACATTTTCTGTTTAGCTTGCTTTAGGCTGCATTAAGGCATATGCAATAGGACAATCATGTACATCTTTGGAATTAATCCAATAGAAAGAGCAAAATCTACTTTTTAAAAAAATTTTCTTTTTAAAACATATTTGTGTTTTTTTTGTTACGAAACTCCTATACAAAATTATAAAATGTACATCATCTGAGCTGCCCAGGAGATTAAAAATATAACTTCTCCATAGAACTAGTTCTTTTCATGATAAGTCAAACAGCCGTATAAATAATTCAGCCCTGAAGGGATTTGAGGAGAGTATCTTAGTAGAAAACTGACAAGGTTCTATAGTAGTGTATTTCCCTTATCCCCAAAAAAACCAGAAACCAACAGCTTAACATTTTATGGAAATGACAACAGGGGAAAAGTCACTGACAAGACAAATGGGAGACATGACAGCAAAGAACTTTGCTCAATGAAGTTGTGCTGCGTTCAAATGCTTGGAATGAAGTCAGGCGCTTTTCTTCCGCCGAGAAGCACCTTCCCAAGAAATGGACAAGATGAGTTGGATCTCCGTTCAAAGACATATGAGGAGAGTTGAATGGATGGCATTTCCAGGATGCAACAGTAAATGTGGAGAGAAGACACGGGAGCAGCCAACTGGAGGATGTGAGGCTCTACACAGAAGTGGTCACCCTGTCATTGGCGTTATTGACCTCATTTTTGTTTGAATCCAGTCCTTTAGCAGCGTTCAGATCATTCCGTAAATTCTCCACTGTCTTTTTCATGTTCTTTAATTCCCCAGGGTGTGGCGTGGCTCGCCTTAGGAGTGTCCGCTAAAAACAAACAGGGGAGTAAATGATTTCCCAGCCTTCTCCTTCTTAAAACTGTATTTCTCTATTCATTAAAGTGGCTTTTCACGTTTTTTAACAGCTAAAAGGTTTATTAGTTGGGCGTATTGTGAAAGAGAAACACAAGCAATCGCCATTTTCACGCCGTTAATAGTTGGGGAGAGAAATAAGGAGGAATGTTTTTACAGAGAAAACATCCAGCAAAAGGTGGCTTGGAGTCTGC